TAATTAATAAATACACAAAAAAAAAGTAAATGAATAGGTAAAATATAAATGAAGAAAACAAAATAAACAAGTTAAATTAAATAATAAATAAATAAACAAAACCAAAATAAATAAATAAATAAATAGAACAAACAAACAAACAAATAAATAAATAAATAAATAATAAAATAAATAACATAAGCAAATAAATAAATAAATAAATAAATAAAAAAAAAAACAAACCTGGGGATGGGTGCAGGCGAATTTGTGATCGGTAAAAGTAAACAACACAAAATAAAAAAATAAAATAAACAAATAAACAAATAAAATAAATAAACAAACAAAATAAACAAACAAATAAATAAATAAATGAAAATAAAATAAAATAAAATAAATAAATAAATAAATAAAATAAAATAAAATAAATAAAAAAACAAACCTGGGGATGGAAGGCAACTTTGGTGCAGGCAGATTTGTGATCCGTAAAAGTAAAGACAGCGCGAGGGAGACGCATCTCCCATAGACTAACCTAAATATAAATAAATAGATAAATAAATAAATAAATAAATAAATAAATAAATCAACAAATATATTTAAATAAATAAATATAAATAAATGAATAAACAGATTAGTTAGTTAATTAGTTATTTTGTTTTTTTATTTATTTGGTTATTTGTTTTGTTTGATAGGCAGTTACCATAGACTAACCTAAATATAAATAAATGAATAAATATAAAAAAATAAATAAATAAATAAATAAATATAAATAAGTCGATAGAAAACTATATAAAATAAATAAAAACAAATAAAATAAACAAAACAAATAAAAAGGTAACAAAACAAAACCAAATAAAACATATAAAATAAACAAAATAAACCAGACGAAACAAACAAAACAAACAAAACAAAAAACAAACAAACAAAAAATATAAAAAAATAAAAATAAAATAAAATAAAATAAAATAAAATAAAATAAAATAAAATAAAATAAAATAAAATAAAATAAAATAACACAAAATAAAACAAAACAAAACAAAACAAAACAACAAAATAAAATAAAAAAATAAAGCAAAACAAAAAAATAAAAAATAAAAAAAAATAAAAAAAAATAAAAAAAAATAAAATATATATTTTTACTTTTTGTTGGATATATTCCCTTCTGAGTGCCTGGTACTGATCGAAGGTCCACTGCTGCAGCTTTCTTCTATCCCACATATTCACTGCTACTGGGCCTTCAGCTGCAGCAGCAGCAGCAGCAGCAGCAGCAGCAGCAGCAGGAGTAGCAGCAGCAGCAGCAGGGTAGTAGTAGCACCGGGAGGAGGAGCAGCAGGAGGGGGAGGAGCAGCAGCAGGAGAAGCAGGAGAGCAGCAGCAGCAGAAGTAGCAGCAGCAGCAGCAGCAGGAGAAGCAGCAGCAGCAGCAGCAGCAGCAGCAGCGGGAGAAGTAGCAGCAAAAGAAGAAATAGAAGCGGCGGCAGCAGCAGATGCAGCAGAAGACAGAAACGCACACATAGAAACAACAGCAGCAATGAGAGAGAAAAAGAAAAAACACAAACTCCAATAGCAACTGCAGCAGCAGCTTGGGGGTTAAGTCCTCGGCCTTGGGGCTCTGAGGCGCAGACAGCTGGCGCTGCGGAGACATAGAGAAAGCAGCAGCAGCAGGGCTGCTGCAGGGGGTACGCAGCCCGCTGCGGTTGCTGCTGCTGCTGCTGCTGCTGCTGCTGCTGCTGCTGCTGATGAGGGACCTAGAAGATGACCTAGATGAGCCCCGCTCAGCTGGAGTTTCTTCAGGTGCTGCTGCTGCTGCTGCTGCTGCTGTTGCTGCTGCTGCTGCTGCTGCTGTTGCCATAGGGGCACCCATAGCCATTGCTGTTGCTGCTGCTGCTGCTGCTGCTAGAGGAGTACCAATAGCAACAGTCTCAGCAGCAGCAGCAGCAGGTGTTGCTGCTGCTGCTTCCTCCGTTGCTGCTGCTGGTTCTGCTGCAGGTGCTGCTGCACCTTCAGGGGCCTCATCTGCTGCTGCAGCAGCAGCAGAAACAGCCTCAGCAGCAGTAACCAATACCTCAGCAGCGCATGCAGCAACACCCCCTACAGCAGCAGCTCCTGCTGCTGCTGCTGCATCGATAGCAGCATCAGCAGCAGAAGCAGCAGCAGCAAAACTAGATGATGATGATGGGCTGCTTGCTGCAGGGCTGTCTGCGGGAGAAGGGTGTGGGGTGAGGGGGAATTCGGGAGACAGCTCCCCCTCCTGCTGCTGCTGCTGCTGCTGCTGCTGCTGCTGCTGCTGCTCTTCCTGCTGCTGCTGCTGCTGGTTTTGCTGCTGCTGCTGCTGCTGCTGTTGCTGTTGCTGCTGCTCCTCGGGAGAGGAGGAGCGGGGGGAGGTAGAGGGACTCATTGCGTGAGGGGGAGAAAAGGAAACACTGCAGCAAGGAGACAGCAGCAGCAGCAGCAGCAGCAGCAGCAGCAGCAACAGCAGCAGCAGCAGCAGCAGCACACACACACACACACAGAGACAGAATTAACTTTAATAGAGGAGCAGCAAAACGCAGACACAAAGACAGAAGAGGCAGAGGAGATTCAAATGCTGCTGTTGCTGCTGCTGTTGCTGCTGCTGTTGCTGCTGCTGTAGCTGCTGCTGTTGCTGCTTCTATCTGAGCTGCTGCTGCTGTTCGTGCTGCTGCTTCTGATGCTGCTGCTGGTTGTTAGGCAGTGAGACTGCGACTGCTGTTCCTGCTGCTGTTGCTGCTGCTGCTGCTGCTGCTGCTGCTGCTGCTGCTGCTGCACTGTCAACAATAGATCTGCAGCAGACGTCGGCTGCAGGGCATGCAGCCCGGTGGAGCAGCAGCAGCAGCAGCGGCAACAGCAGCTGCAGTACTAACAGCAGCAGCAGTATCAGCAGCAGCAGGAAAAACAACAACAACAACAACAGCAGCAGCAGCAGCAGCAGCAGCTGTGGCTGTTTGCTGTCTCCGTGCTGTCGGCTGCGGCTGCTGCGCTGCTGAGGAGGAAGCAGGGGGAGCAGCAAGCAGCAGAACAGAGACAAAAAGAGACAAATCCTGCTGCTGCTGCTGCTGCTGCAGCAGCAGCAGCAGGAGCAGCAGGAGCAGCAGCAGCAGCAGCAGCAGCAGATAGTCTCGATTCTGTAGGCGGCGACCGCAGCAGCATCAGTGGTACTTACAGTTTTGTTGCTGCTGCTGTTGCTGCTGCTTGTTTGTTTGTTTGTTTGTTTGTTTGTTTGTTTTTGTTTTATTAAGGGAAATAAGAATAATATATAAAAGAAAAAGGAAAACAACAAAAAGAAAAAGCAAAAGGAAGGACGGCTGCGACTCAGCAGCAGCAGCAGCAGCAGCAGCAGCTGCAGCAGCAGCAGCAGCAGCAGCAGCAGCAGCAAGCGAAAGAGAGGGTGGTTTGCTTCATCTCTTCTCCTCCAACCCTAATGTATTTAGTTAAATAAATATATTTTATTATTTTTATTAATATTATTATATTGTTATATTTATTTATTTATTTGTTTTACTTTCTCTATCGTCGCATCCTGCAGCAGCAGATGACGGCCTCACCCCATGGCGAGCAGCACAGCACAGCCTGGGGGTTTATCTTAGCCCCC